ATTTTGTAGGAGAAAATACAGACTGCACCTTAGAATATCCTAACTTCTTTTTTTACATCGGGGAATATTGATGCTGTACAGTATAACAAGACAGTTAAAATCTATATTTTCTGGAATCAGCGTCGTATGTCTCTGCTATGCTACTGCTCGCAAGTTGGGCAGATTTGCCACTCAAAGGCATATACACAGTCTGACAGAACAAGAAATGGGAGCAGAGTTTATCGGTACTTGAATGTGTCATAGAGGAAGCCCCTTGTGCGCGGAAATATACAATGATCTTGGACAAAAAGAGCGATATATGATGCTTCACAGCTCGACATTCTACAACATTTGTTTTCTGTAGGTTTACTACATCTTTTTTCCACATAATACTGTATTTCTTCTTTTCCACATTTGCAATAGGCAACAATTTCTTAAGGCACATACACCATGAGACAGGCTTGTTTGGTGCAGCATATTCTTTTTTCTGTAAGTCAGCAAGAATAGAGTCCTCTTTGTTAAACTATGACAGACAGGTTCAGAAAGATGCTTGGATAGAATACAGAGCAGAGCAGCTCTCGCTTGAGCGATTTCGGGATTGGCAAGATGGAATATGCACAAGGGACCTCACAGTGATCCACTCTCGGGTCATAAATACTTATTACAATTCACAATAAATATGCATTATCATTTCTTACATTTATGTAGAGTACTCCTATGCCTGTACGCCTATTGGCGTTGTCAACATAAGTGGTAGAGGGTAGTAAGGAATTATAGCTTTCTTTCTTCTGTGGTCTCTCAGTCTTAAGTCTTAGTTGTCTTCACTCTCAGCATGGAGCAGAAACAACGTTGTATACGTACGTGAGCTTTTGCAGAGTTACATGTACATTACGTGAGGGTAGTTAGGCTAGATTGCTACTGACTTTTCTTTCAACTTTCCTGGCCCTAGCCACGTGATTCATTATCTGGTATTCTATTGCCCTCCTTTTTCACGTGCAGTGATTTAGGGAGCCTTAAATCCATTAGTGTCACACTGGATCACTTTGATTGCCATCTTCAGGTATCAGTCATTTTTTTCTACTACTCTCCTCTTACATTGTCATTGACAACAGACCTTCATAAACAACACAAATTAAACAAAAAGCAATACACATTCTAGTGTTCATTAACTCAATCAAACTAAAAAAAATCTCCACCTAGCAAATGCTATCTACTCTAATATGGACTGTACATTTTTTCTTGTGTACACAACCTACAAATATGTTAAGTATGCATTCTTTTCGTACACATTTAAGGTTTGACAGATAGCACTTGGGTTTGTGGTACAATGTAGATAGAGCATGTCCTTTTCCTAAGTGTTTGCACCGTACAAATTGCACTGAAAGCCTGGAGTGAGACTGGAGTTGAGTAGGGGTGCAATCTGAGACAACCAATCATAAGAGGGGTCAAAGTTTGGGAATATATATATTAGCCAATCAGAAGGAGGGTCAAAGTTCAGGAATATATATATCTGAACCAATGGGAGTGGCTCTAGATGAAGTACTGGATGATGAAGGCGATGAATATTGCGAGGAGGGTGAAGGACGCCAGCACGATCGCCACCAGCTGTTCGTCGCTGAGCTCCTTCCGCTCGATTGGCTGCTCCTGGACGGGGCGTGGCGTCTCCATGACGACGTGTTCCCTGCTGCGGGTGTGGAATGTGACTCCGGGGCTGTACGGACCGATCAGGGGCGCGGGGTCGTCCTGGCACTGGCGGACCGAGCACACCCGCAGGTGGTACTCTGTGTCGGGCTCCAAGTTCTCCAGCGCGAACGCTGTCTCCGGTCCTTTGTACACCTGCAATGTGGGCAAAGGCATGTAGTTTAAAAGGGGTATTTTGTAACATTTTTGCACCAAACATTGACATATTCTAATTGGAAGAATCTTTCATTTGAAATCAAAGACAACAAAACACACACAAAAAAAACAAATTCTACATGTCAGAAAATGTGTGGGACTATTTCTGGTGCAAGGCTTTCTGGAAACATCCTAATAATAGTATGATTTTCCAACAAACAAAACAACTAGTGGGCAGCCAAAGTCAGTACATGTTACAACGTTGCCACCTGGCAGTCCTTTTGGAGTAGTGCAGCTGCTTCTTACCTCCTGGTACCTGGCATCCCTGCCCTGTGCCATCTGAAGCTGGTACAGGATAGGGTCTCTCCTCATGGCTGGTACTTCCATCCACACTGCCTTACAGGTTCTGTCAGTCACTTCCTGAACCTTGGGGGCTGAAGACGGTCTCAAGATTAATAACAGATTCCACATCATACTGTCATGACCACAGTAGGGGTCTGGTATTCTCCCCCAAAATTTTAAAACTCGTGTCACAACTATCTGCGACACTGTTTCCTGCTTATAGAGAGACAAATTTTCTAAAGATGTTTTCCCTCTGTCGTAAATTTTTTTGTGTACCTAAGCAATTGTTTGAAAGTCCAATTCTAAGTTTTTCAAAGATTTATGAAGGGCAAGGAAAAAGAAACACTACACTGTGCTGGTCGAAAGACTTGTAAGGGGCTAAATCACAGCATAGGGTGTCCAAATCACAGCATAGGGTGTCCAAATCACAGCATAGGGTGCCCCTACGTTCAAACAGCCTAAAGAATTTTTCTCTGATGCTGTAATTACAGTATATTCACGTCTCCGCGGGCATTCATAAAGCTAGACACGAATAAACAAGGAAACGGAAGACAGGAAATGAGATGACCTAAGGACAATTTACTTCCTCATACATGTAGCAAACACACACAGACACATGAAAAAACTCCTAACCAGGAGGTAAAAATCTATTTCAAAGCAGATAAACTCAGGAAAATAGCCATTTTCTGTGATCAAGTCAGGATATTATTTAATTGTGCGTAGGAAGGGCCTTTCCTGTTCCACCCACAAACCATTCAATCATGAAACTGGGCTGATAAGAGAAAAATTTGAGCTCGGTAGAGCCCTTCCATATCTCAAGCTGATCATAAACTTAATCCTGTATCTTTAACAATTTGTTATTTCTGGTGCTTGTGGGATTTAGGGTTTGTTGGTGGTAGACCTTTTACTAGTTAATGACAGCTTTGCACCAGCAAAACCTGTATGGTTTCATGGTAATTCTTAGCACGGCGGCAGAACGTACTGCACCTGCGTGGAACCTGTAATTTTCCTTATTTCTTTATTTCAGGCATAATGTGTGTTGTACAAATGTGTTGTACATCGCACTCTGGCAGAACATCTCATATAATGTCATATTCTCACATATAACTTATAAGGGTAACATCCTGTCTGTCGTTTCGAAATGTTATGTCCGAAAAGATATTTCCTGCAACAGGCAAAATTCTGACCAAAAATCCAGCAAAAACCATGAAAAATCAGGGTTTTGCACAGGCGCAGTACGGTCTACCGACATGCTGTAATTCTTACCCTTCATGGCTGGAGGAGGTGCCTTCTGGGTGATGAACTGGTAGATGGGAGAGAAGGGGCCCTCCCCAGCGTCGTTCATAGCCAGGATACGGAAGTTGTAGGGAGTCTGCTCACTCAGTCTGTTCACCTTGAAGTTGGTGTTGGTGCCGGCATAGATGCTAACAAACCTACAGGCACACACAAAAATAACAAAAGCATTTTTACTCCTGTAAAGCTCTCCTCCCAAAGAAGTACTGATCGCATCTGGAAAACTCTGTACCTTTCCTCTTTCCCTGTCACCCTCAGCGACCCATCTTGCTATTTCTGGTTCAACTTTTGTCCAGAGACTTCTCTCTTTCTCTCTCTCTATATATAAATCATATAACTATTACAGTGTAAATTGTTCACTTTTACGTTCCAAGTATAGCAACAGGAAATTTCATACTCGAAAATGTAATAATCTCCCCTCAGATGCCCATTATATCAAGTAAAATAATGATCAGATCTGGCAAACATGTGATGTCTGATCCAATACAACTTTATTTCTGTGATTCGTGACTGTAAGTTCTTAATGTGCTTAATGTCAAGAATCACACGTCCTTGCCCTTACACCAACTACCTTGAAGTTTAACAGGGGACAATTCGAACAAAGAACAGGAATATGTAAACATGCGTCATGCCTGTGAACCCGCAGCGAGCGGTTATACACGCTGTTTGCAACATTAAAGACCACAGGAAACATATTAAGAGCTCTGGCAACCAGTCATTTACATCCCAAAGTCACAAACCCATTTCCTTGTTTGGTCACAGATTAAAACCAAGGCCTTCATGTCTAGACATTAACTATCACAAGGCTCAATACAACGTGGGAGAACAACTCTCCACAAAAAGGGTGAAGGCCTTCAAGTCAACTACTGTAGTTATTTCTGAATTTCCAAGAACTACATTCTCTCCACCACTTGTTACTCAGTACTAAGGCCACACCAATTTAATTTCTTGGTTAACGGATTCGCCGCTTTATTTTTTTCTGATTTGCAAATAAAAATAAAAATTCAGAATCAACTGCAAAATGCTCATATTTTGCCCTGAACAGTTGAAAACAGTCCTTTTCTTACTACTTGTTACAGTAATTCCATCTTTCAATGCAGTAGTATCATTAAAAGTTCAAAATTCATTGTTTAAATTTTGAACCAGCCTGGTGTGTTGACTTCATGGCTCCTATGGTACCATTTTGGGCCATAATAGGATGCCTAGGCCTGTTTTTTTTTTGTTTTTTTTTCGCCCGCCCGCTCCATTATTTTTCTAGAAAAATCCGTTAACCAAGAAATTAAATTGGTGTGGCCTAAGTGACATCTTGGAAATTGAGCTATTATGACTTGTATTTGGTGGTCTTTCACATCGTGTTTAACTTAATAACGACTGTACTGCAGGCAATCACGCAGTCAGCTTCCCTGTCAATCATCATGACTTAATTTATAACTAACAATCTCTCTATCCCAAGAAAATTATACTTTTAGCCCCTGACTGGTCACTTTAACTGGGTACCTGGAAAGTTCTAACTAAAGAAATGAAAGGCTGATTTAATGTGTAGTTATACAATGTAGCAGTAAGAAATTCCCAACTGATATAAAATGTTCATCAGTTGAAAGCCTCTTTGTATTCTAATCAAATTAATGGTTTAAAAAAAATGGATTAAAACATCAGCAGCAATGTACAAATGCGTACTACATGTAGGTCCGAGGTGTGTTGGCTGATGTTTAGAGTGCTGTGGCTACAAGCTACATTTGTAGCGGCACCAAAGTGCCTCTTGTGGGGAGTGTGTGGGTGAAATGGTTGTACCCATGAAATGGAATAAAAGGTGTGTAATGGTTTTACATAACCCATTTTTTACATAATTGCAAATGGCAAGAAAAAACTCATGAGACCTTCACACAGACAGAAGGCATTTTTCCTTTACACTGATACTTTTTACAATATGTGAATATTCAGGCATCAGTAATCTGATGTAAAACATTACAACAGCATAATTTACATATAACTCGCAGATTCCCTCTGTCAGAAACTCATGTGTCATTGAATGAAATGTCAACTGACCTTGTATGTAGCTTCTGGGACCTAACTTTATGTGGTCTGTGGTTAGGGAATTCACCCCACCCACATGCTATCACTCAAGCTTACATACACAAGCACACATAAAACACTACCTTTGGTAAACAATCACAGCAAAATAAAACACATGTGGTAAACAATCACAACAAAATAAAACACATGTGGTAAACAATCACAACAAAATAAAATCGAAGATCTCACCTCAGAGTTCTGGTATCTTCCATCTGCAGGGTGTACTCCGTTGCTTTTGTGTCGGAATTCTTGGTTCCGTCTGTCCACCTCAGCTTCAGGCTGGAATGGCCGCACTGCACGCACTCCAGCTTGGGTGGGTTGGGGGGCAGCGGCTTCGTTTTGGCCTTAATCGTTGCACTGAAGGGCCCCGCGCCTATCCTGTTCACTGCCTGGATTCGCAACCTTTATCAACAAAAACATACTGAACTGAAGCGAGCAGCAATTTGGGTGTATCGCTTGTATCATGACTAAGAGACTGGAGTTAGTGCTGTGAGTTCAATTAATTAATGTGTTGTCAAAAACACAGTTCACAACCTTGCATCAGAATGATTACTTCCAACAGAGATAAACTTTCTCGAGCTAAAAAAAGTGACTGAAAACTCTCTTTGCAATATATAAATTTGACTGTTTTTGTCCAGTTTCTCTGGCTAATCTTTTACAATTTCTTATTCAGTTTGACTGATCAGTGTTTGCAATTAACACATGTAGGCTGCCATAATATAGAATTAGAAAGAGTGTACAAATCAGTGCAACATGCAACCAAAAAACAATGTACACAGTCAGCAGGATGAAAAAAAAACAGATTTTGTACATGTCATCTGACTAAAACTGCCTAATTTGCATCATGGACTACTTGTAGTCCTACCAAAATGGTAAAGCTTGTGGCTTATTCGTGACTGTGGCTTATTCAATTTCCACAAACTTTCCACGGAAACGGCAGGAACGAAGGACAACCATGCAAATTAAGTCATCCTTCATTGAGTCTTCCTAACCAAATGAATACCTGGGGCATGGAAACATGCACATCAATGACAAAGTACCTAAAACAGCAATCAAGGCCACACTAAATTTAATTTCTTCAACAGAATTGTTAGCCTGGGGTCCACCCTTGTTGATCATAGTCTGGTAATGTTAAGGTCTTCTCAAGAATGTAAAGAACACAGGAATATCTAAAGTGTGCACACCTCTACAAATACTGATCATCAATACTGCATTTGGTTTACATTCACCATTTTGTTTGTGTGATGGTCTTAGGGTACCCCTCATAATTGGGAGACTGTTGATGTTACATCATTTTTTCATTTATCTATTCATTGAGATTTACCTCATTTTTGGAAGGATTGACATAACAAATCATTGACTGCTTCAAAATGTCATTGTATTGTACTGTATTACATTACTAGGTTTGATCCACATCCAAAAAAATTTCACGGCTCTTGGTGGCCAATGTGCAAATGTTGGCATGTTTGGCGCACCAAATCCGTGGTGTGTTTTTGGCACACATTTTGACAGATTAGCCGAAGAGGCTTAATGGTTGTCACTCCACCATACAGGGACGGAAGTCGTGTTAAAATCCTTTCCAGCACAAACGTCCGGGTATGGTGGGTATCAAACCCCGGACCTATTGGTTCCAAGTCCAACACACTCTAACTGTTGCACCGCCGACCCCACTACTGGTTCATGTTACACAGCACAGATGTAGCTTACCTATACGTGGTGTCGGGAAGTAGCCCCTCGAGTAGGAAGTCTGTGACAGGCATCTCCACAGCCACCAGCCTCCCCTCCAGACCGATGTCAATGTTGTAGCCCAGGATATCTTCTCCATTGCTGCACGGCTCATCCCACTCCAGGTGTAGGGAGGATGCAGGGTTCTCTGGCGTTTCGTCGGGGACAACCTGGAAGGTCGTGACGGCGCTGGGAGAGGACGCCGGCGTTTGGCAGGTCGCAACGGGACTGAAGGGTCCCACACCGGCAGAGTTCACCGCCTAGATGGACGGACAGAAAACAGATGTTCACCTTCCTGGTGCTTTGCACCAATTATTTTATTCACGTGAAAAGGTAAAGGTAGTCCCATAGCCTTTTTTGAGCCTGCAGGTGCAGGGGGTTGTTATCCACTGTGTCAAGGGCACGATATTGGAAGGCGGAGCCCATTAATAATAATAAGAGACTTGTACCTCTAGTTGTGTAATTTACCTTTGGCTCAATATACAACTACCAACTACTATCTTAATGTTACATACCGGTAATACTGCTTTAAAGTTAAGACCTGTGTGTAAAGCACCACGTGGGTCTTGCGCTTCCTAGCTTCCAGCAGGGCATAAATATGCAATAAATCAAAAAATAAATGCTGTCTTTTATCCCCAATGATATCATAGGCAAAAAATGTCCTTTCTGCTTTTTCATGTTCCTATCCTTCCAGTATATATTTCTGTTTTACCCCAAGGCAACACATGAACTACTTTAACAACAAGATTAGTACCGGTAATACAATGTATGTAATGATTGGTCTTCGACACCAGCAATTTGCTTCATGAGTACCAGCAGCATGTGTATCATGATCATGCAATCGTAAGTCCTAACTCAAAATAGAATTCTTGATGAAATTTGTTTCTAGTAACATCATTGCAGTGACATCAGTGGCCTACGGGTAAGGCTAGCAGACACGTGATTGTGAAGTCACGGGTTTGATTCCTGACTGCACTGTGTCAGACAATGTCTCCTTCTGAAAGGTACTTTACTCAACTTTTTGCCCAACCTGTCACATGTTAAGCCCTTGTCACACATTTAGAACCTTCGCCTGAACTGTCGGCTGTTTAGGAGCAGTCCGGTAATTTATTTCCTGGGTACCAGGTGTAACAACAGCTGGTTGCAATCTAAAAAAAAAACTCAAGGTCTAACTGAAAATATAATTTTTGAAGAAATTCATTCATGTACTTACAGTGACATCAATAGCCTAATGGCTGGCAAATACGGGATCTAAAAGTCATGGGTTCAATTTCTGCCTGCACTGAATTAGACAATGTGTCCTTGGGAAAGGTACTTCACATGACTTTCCTCACTCCACCAAGGTGTAAAATGGGTACCTGAGTGTGTTAAGTTGTACGTAAATAATGTTTTAATTAACTTTGATGTAGTGTATTTGTATGATGTATGTTTAACTCCAGGAAGACTAGCTACATACTTGACTTTTGTACTTGTATGTTTGCTAATGGAGGACCTAAAGTTTGAAGAGGTAAAAGGTAGTGGAAGGAGAGGGATGGGCTCTGCCTTACAATACCAAGGCCAAGACACAGCAGACAATGGCATGTACTATGGGACTTTTTTTAAAAGAAAACAGAATCCTATCATTCTGAAGCTTCTTAATTACTGGAGATTTACAGACAAATATCTGTGAGGTGTCAAAAACAGGATTGTAGGGAGTCCCTATACATGTCCAACACTTCCAGCAATGAAAATGTATAGATAAAATATAACACATACTAAAATCTAATGTTGACTTACCTGGACTCTGAAGTAGTAATATGAGGCAGGACTCAACCCTTTCACTTCGTAACTGTTGGACTGGCCTGTGTAGAGTTGGGAGAAGGTACCGTCCACACAGCTCCACTCCAGTCTGTACTCTACCACTTCTGCACCGTTCCCTGCTGGGGTCTGCAAAAGCAAGGCAAAACAAAATCTACATGTGTTCATGTGCTAAGACTTCCTGAACATTGCTATATGTATTCTACAAACTAAACTATAGTTCTAGCTAGCCTGAATTCTTTTTTCCATCAATGTTGTTTGACATATAAACATCGTTTGGATTGCTGAACATGATAATCATGCTCCCCTGGAAAAATTGCTAATTCTAACCCTCTAAACATGCAATTTCCTGCATTTTGAGGGCACATTTTGCTGGTAGACTAAACTTATCTCTTTTAATATCTTTACACACCATCTTTCCATCTAAGATGACAGACTGGGCAAAATTTTTGTCCGTCTTTAGCAGAAAAATTTCGTCAAATGACGGTAAGAAAGGCACTGGCTTTAACACTGCTACACTTACATTGCCAACAGTTCATACATGTATACAGTCAAACCTGTATTAACCACCATTGACATCTTCACCATGAATTCATGACATTGCCAAGGCATTACAGAATTGTGTAAACTGTGATTTTGAAACGCCAAGAAAAACATTGATCTGTCCCCTTGTACTGTGAAATTAAGTCAGACTCACTATGAAAAGAAATGAATTTACAGTGATTTGATACACAGATATGTTTTGATAATCAAACCCTACCTGCCAGCTGACGAGCGCAGCTGTAGGTGACTTGCAGGTAAGTAGCGGCTCCGCAGGTGCGTCAGGTGGGCCAGCACCTGTCGTGAAGACAGACGGCTCTGACACAGGCCCTCCCTGTAAACAAAAACAAACACATTAACATGTATACAATTTAATCCACTCGGGCCTGTATTATCCAATAGAATAAGAATTTCTGCATCTTTATAGCCATTTTGTACATTGTCTGGACAGTTTTCCTCTGCATCCAAATATTTTTGTAGGTTTAAATATGTATAGGTGTTAAATGTATACTAGTACACAGCATATTCTTAACATCTAAGTATCAGAAAAATAATAAAATCATTGTTACAGTACTTTGCTTTAGAAATGAAACATAATTAGTTTTTGCTGACATTCTACTTATTTCAAGTTATATAGGGTGCCCCAAAAATTGGGTGCACCTGAGCACCTATTCCTGAAAATGAATTTCGAGCCCTGTAATGCCACTGTGAGAGACAGACTTACCCCTACTCTGTTGAAGGCTTTCACCCTAAACGCGTACGTCCTCCCCGGCAGCAGGTTGATAATGGTACATTCCATCTCGGGTCCCTTGTACACCTCCAGAGATGTGCAGTCGTCCATCACCATGTCCACAAGGTACTCCGTCGGCGGGCTGCCACCATCGTAGTCTGGGAGGGCTGAAAATAACCACAAAACAGTCAGACAACCTACAACCTAGTTGTACTGAAAATAGCGAAAAAATGTCAGAAAACCTACAATCTAGGAGTGCTGAAAATAGCCACAAAACAGTCAGACAATCTATAATCTCTGTCACAATGTGCGGCTGAAAGCTTTGATTAGCAAATAGACACAAAACTTGTTTATCCCAAACACTATAATCCATGCGACGCCTGCGAACACAAGTCCTTGGACGGGCAAAATCACAATATCTCCATTTTTCATGGAGGTACAATGTAATAAGGATGGCTTACCCCATTTAATTTGTAGAGAGTTAGCCTTTGGTTTTCCGCAGAGCTTGGGAGGATGGCACTGGCCAGGTGTGACTGGCAATGTAGTGATACTGTATGACTCGGAGTACTGGAAAGTGACAAAGTACATTGTTAAACCTTTAAAATAATGAACTAAATGCCATAGATTGTATTTGGTCTAACACAAAATCATGACAATAAAAAAAATACATTAAACCAGGAAACACAGGCCGCAATAATGTTCCATAAGTGTTCCGGCCTATTTGACAACTTCCCATATCACACAGGGTTGTAATGTTTATCACAAGGGCTTCCAAATGTTGCATTGAATAAATTAAAGATGTTTAGCATCCACTGTCTAGCTTTGCTACTTGGTATTCATCACTGGTATTCAAAGTTTTTAAAGTAGCACACTTAGTGAACGCAAAACATGGTGAATTTATTATACACTGTACATGTACCAGATTCAGATGTTAAAATTCAATACTTGTCACAATTTTCTGTTTAGGAACAACGAATTTTGGCACATTTTGCCCTGGACTGTGTGTTTTCTCAGGTGGGTATGACATGTACATGTACACTTGTTAACAACAGAGGTGTATTCTGCAACCCCTTCAGTCCCAGCCCTCCCGCGAGTCGGACTGCCCTCTGGTCTTTGGGTGATCCAACCTGCGGTGGGGCTGGCACACTATGTGTGTTGTACCTGACTTTGACCCCCTGCGCCGACACACGCCACCCTCAGCTTGTACATCCCTCCTGGCACCAGGTTGTCACAGGTATGCTCCAGGTTAGAGCCGGCGTACACCACCTCGTACGGACCATCTGTAACGAACAGTTGTCAACATTGAAAACATTCAAGACACAGTCGTTATTTCCTACCTTACTAGACACACAATATCAACTCTTTTGACCTTGCAATAACTGCAAGAAATCCAGGGTTTGAAATACTGGGTGCTCCTTGGTGCACCAAAAATTGGAGCTGTGCACCCAATCTGGGTGCACTGCTGCACTCATATGTTTACATAATATGTAAAGATATTAAATACATGTCTACAGTATGTCTATAGCATATTTTGCACACATACATATTGGCAACCACAAGGCTGAAAGAAACCAAAAGTTATGGCTTCAAGGGTTAGTAAAACTCTAAAATAAAAATGTCTCTGTGTTCAGTGATTTATGTAACATTGACATTAGTGAAGCACAAGGATCAGGCCTCGAACAGTAAACAAAAATCAAAGCTCTGGCTTCAAGGGTAAGTAACACCTATAGCTAGTGTTTTCTAGGTTCAGTCAGTGACATTTGTAGCATAATAAAGTTAGCGAAGCACCAGGCTCAGGCCTTGAGGAGTTTATCAAATATCAAAGCTCTGGCTTCAAACAGAAGTAGAACCAGTTTTTTCTGGGTTCAGCCACATTTGAACCCTCCCCGCAAGCAAAGCGCAAGACTCGTGCCAATTAAGGTGTAAATTGGTGACACAGCGTGACAGAGTGTTCCAAACATGCGCTGGGTAGCGAGTCTCAAAAGAACTGTTTTCGCTTCCTGTTCTAAATTTGGTGCAGAATTTCAACTAGCTATGGCTTCAAAAATTTGCCGGGGTTTCGTTTTATTTCTCTATCTTCTAACATTCGAGTTTCTGTTCTAAGGAGTGACAATATATGCCCCTATGTGCATTTTGACAGCAGATTCTGCTTCAATGTCTGGTTATAATTTGTACCTGTAACATTTGTGATTTTCAGTGCATTATGCCATATTACAACTACTCAGTTGGTAACACCATTTCACAATAATCTCATAAAGGGTTAAGTTAATTGTTACCTTTCCCAGATGCCATCTCCAGTAAGTATTTACTGATGTCGATTCCTCCAGTATCTCGTGGTGGATCTGTATGAAACAGAAAAAAACAATCATACACCAAGTACAGAATTTCATGAACCATACAAATTTTAAGAATTGAATGTATAAAAATCTACATGATTGTATTACATGTAATTGCAATTTTTGGACATTATTCTCCATGATTTAAATTTTGTACACTGTAGTGACAACTACAGATTCTGGACTACGTTTAATCAAATCCATTTTCTTTGAAAGTAATGGAGCTGATGTAGTCAATTATTTGACATGTCTGACAGTTTTGAAAATCTATCCAGTTGCTAGAGTATTGCTAACAATGCTTGTGTGTATATTCAAAGGCAATTCAAACTGTGTGTATCTAAGGGATTGTATATACTGTATTGCCTATCTTGTTTGTTGTAATTTTTGTGTGTCACAAACTCTTTGCAATTCAGGGAGTCTCATCCCTGCTGTAAGGTTTGCTTTTTGGTGTCACGAACAAAGATCACAACATGTATGCTGCTTCTCACCCCAGGAGATCTTGAAGTGCTGTGCATGCAAGCGGCCTTTGAGCTGGGGGCGGGAAGGCACTCCTGGCTTGTCCGGATTGGTGGTGAACGACACTTTTTCACTCCAGCCACTTCGGCCCTCGGAATTACTGGCACACAACTGGGAGACAGCGGGAGAGGGGCAAGATACAACACTATTGAGACAAGCATTTATACATGTACCTGCACAGTGCAGACCCTTCACATGTGTTTTACATAGGGTTTTAACTTCTTATTTTCTTGTGTAAAAATTGTGTAATTGACAGCCGTGTGAAGACCCTGTGTTAGCTGCATGTGGCTATCTATGACACATAATCACATGTGATATACACAGACATCTACACGAGAAATGAATGTGATTTAAACAAGAATTGCACAGCTTTTGCATGCACTATGGGCACATTCTGTATCTGTATAGCTGGTATAACTGCCCTTCAGCATAACACACTACAATACATGTATGAAACATGAAATACAATGAGATTTGACTTTTGTAAGATGAGAATATATAACCTGGTATGACACTAAAAAGGTGGCCTTACCCTAAAGTAGTAGGAACTGTTCCTTCTCAGTCTCTTGTGTGTGTAGGTGAGGTCATCACCATTGTAAACTGGTTGGAAACCATAGCCCTGTAGAACAATCAAATCAAGTGGGTTTGATTGGGAACAACCTTTTCTAGCTCCTTGATCTGAGTGATAAAATGTTGTACAATTGGCTTTCTAACATTGACATTGAAAATAAAGTGTCCTCATGCTAGTTTTACTTTGTTAACTGTAACTGTGGACCCCTATATAGATATTACTGAAAAAAAAAAGGAAAAAAAAAATATAATCCCTACCTACAGAGTACCGACCCTAATTTTTTCAGGACTGAAACAGGAAACACAACATCTTTGTTCCTAGGTCTTACTACTACTGCTACAACGAAGATTCTGATTTTACCGTGTCTTCGTCTTCCATTTCCAGAGTAAAAGCCTCCACGTCGGCCCCGGCCGGTTTGGTCCAGTGGAGTTGAAGCGACGTTGTCGTGGCTCGTACCAACTTGGGAGGTTCTGGGGTGGGAGGGGGGCTCCCCGAGGTGTGGCAGTATACCTCTGGGCTAAAATCACTGTGTGATAAGGGTAATCCAATCAATCAATTAAAAATGCTTAATTTCTTAATGAACAAGGCAGCACAAGACTGAATTACACTCATTGTAATGTTGGTTTTAAAACTTGAAATCTTTAACATCACAAAATATTCTTACATACAATTTAATAAAACCTTTGGGCAAAAGATCATTCTGGATAATTTTACTCCGGGTTTTGGCACCAACATCCTATAAATTATAATATGGGCCTTGTATAGCCGGTATAACCGCCCCTTGGCACAACACACCAGCTTCGAAGCAGCTGGCTATATTACACTGCAACTTGCTACACCTAACCTTTGAACATCTAACTCTAAACATTGTTTAAAGCTATCTAGTGATGATGCACCTACTGTACTTGGTAGCAGCTAGTTTTACTCTATAATAGTTCTAGGAAACAAGAGTTTTTGAACACCCCAATCCTTGGTTGATAACTCTGGTACTTGAAGGCATGACTGCTTTTTGTTCTTTTCTGAACTGGTATAAGGTACTTACATGTACATGTAGGACATGTAGTTGGTACACCCACAAGTTTATTAGTCATTTTGTACATATCATGCATAGTCTGGACATTTTTCTTCTGTCTTCCAGTGACACCCACTAGTACTGTAGGTTTGTTCTCAATTCCATACCACTAGCATACATGTAGTTGTTTGTACAGAATCTTGCAGCTTGGTTCTGTGTCTTACCTCTTCCCCACTTCATTCTGAGCAGCTAGCCTGAATGTGTAGCAGGTGGAATGTGTGAGCTTGGTAGCCTTGTATATCTTCTGTGGTCCACTGTACACTTCACGGAAACCGTTCCCCTTCTTTCCCTGTGGCAGAAAATCTGGTAAGAAACTGACTCATCTACAGCAGGGCTCGAAATTAAAGGTGGTCCGATGGCCCCTGGCCACTATAATTTTGGCTGGGACAACTAAAAAGATACTTTGGGATATTTTTGGGACAATCGAAAAATAATCAACATCAAAATGTCAGCTCTTCTTTTGACTATCAGGCACACATCCCGGCTTTTGAACATAAGCAAAATAATGTTTACTTCGATTAAAATCATACAATACTTTCCAAAAACAGGTTGGGACAGTTTATCCTCACTTCGGGACAATTGAAATTAATTTTTGGGACAGTGCTGGGATAATAGGAATTTCGAGGCCTGCTACAGTCTAAAATTCTTAGATCTTATTCAGAATTTACAAGTGTTAGGTTAAGTTACTCAATGATTGCATAACAAATTTCTTCATTCACAACCACTTGTTAAACAACAGCTGACGCTTCAATGACCATCTGTCATCTCTATCAGGGCATCTAACAGGGCAGAACCAGTGAACCAGTCATAATTGCTCTGATGAAGATGACAGACAGTCATTGAATCGTTGGCTTTTGCCAAACAAGACGGCTGTAACTAAAGACCTTTGCTACTAGTATTCGTTAAATTTTTTGTTGGGCTTGTCAAAACTATATTGTGTGAATAGTGGCTATTGCACTGAAATACAATGACACATACAATGATACTTATAGTACATAGTATCTTAACTTCCTTTCGTCTACATTTGTAGTTCTTTCTGTAGATTAACTTCATTATACACCAAAGGGTCCTTCAAGCAGGATGTTATCTCCACAGGTGTTCAGTATAATAGGCTCCAACAGAGTAGGAATAAATTTACAATTTCCAACATGAATCCAGAAAGGTCGAGGCTGGACATGTACAAGTGACTGGCCTGCCTTGTGAAGATAAATATGTAACGTGTATCTTGTTATAATTTAACACTGGTTAGATGTAACCTGGATACTGATATAATTTTAAACTGGTCATGTGTATCTTGTTATATTTTGATACTTGCTCATTACAAGCAATCTGTATCTTGTTATATTTTATTACTCGCTCATTACATGTATTCTGTATATATTTTCTCAAACCCCTACCTCTTCCCTAACTAACTCAACGAAAAACAGCCAGCAGGCAGATTTAAGTACTTCATTGATAAACAAATGCTCAAACAAACAAAATAAATGCTCAATGCTTACCTCGTCCCACTCTAAAATGAAGCAAGTGATTTTGGAGCCATTGTCCAAAGGTGACTAGAAAGCAGTGAAAAGAGACAGTAAGTTTAATGTCAATTACTCATAAAAGCAGTAGTAAATACAAAGTGTTTAAGTTTAACTTTCAAACAAAAAACATCCATTTGTGACAAGAAGTTTTTAAAGAGAACATGTCTGTTTATTACTGCCCCAAATACGTATGTACATGGAAAACGTTTTGATCCATGTCTTAATGGATATGACAACATCTGTGTTCTAGCTAGTGTCCCTCTTGTTATGTTGCCACTAACGATGAATGGAAATTTTGCCTTATCTGTCATCTTTTAAGGATAAAGACGGGCATAAAATAGGTCGATATTCATGATGACGCAAGTCTCTGACGCATGGCTCGGAAACAAGGCTCTCAGATGACATGACTATTTTTAAAAATCAGCTGGAACCGGACACTGGAAATCATCTATCCTTTAGGGAGATCTCTGGTATGCCGGAACTAGATGTTAATTCTGTATAATTAGTCAATTGTAGACGATTGTAAGCAAGGCTCAAAATCCTTTTTTCTGCATACATGCACTGGTGCAGTTAATGTTGAGAATAACCTCCACCAATCAGACTTTGAGAAGTATGGATCCAAATTAAACTGTTCAGAAACCACTGCCATTATTTCTTTCACACTTCAAAGGTGGTAGCAGTCAATGCAGCAAATAAAAAGTCAATACAGCAAATAACAACCCACATACTGTCTTACATTTTGTATGAAAACACAGTACAAGGGCCAGCACAGGTTACTTGTAGGTAGGCATCAGAAATACCTGCACAGCTCCAAGTCTACCTATACTAAGGTGCATATGCACCCAGTATTTCGAGCTCTGTCCTAGTAAGCATCTCACAAAAGGGTGAATATGCTTACAATTCAAGCCGAATGAAATTTTTGTCCCATCTTTGTTAACCTTCAGAATGCTTACCATCCACTTGAGGGCAAGGCTGTTTTTGGTCCTGTTGGACAGCTTTGGTGCTGCAGGTGTTTCAGGAGCTGCAGTCAGTGTCCGGAAACTACACACTGTCAGAACAGGAATAAACACTGATTAGCACCCCTTAGAACTGCAGAACACTGTTTAGAAATCCTTTTCCTATCTATCCATTTATTTATTAAGTATAAAGTAGAGTGGATCCATTCCTCAAGCTAACCAACATTTTTAACACCAAAGTCATCCCTCTGTATGAGGCCCAGTGATTTTTTTCAAGATGACAATAAGAAGAAGTATTTTCTTACCTTCCGAGGTCATTCCTTTGATGTTATCATTAAGGGCATATACACTGCAATAGAAAAACTTCAGTTAGAATTTCAATCAAGTAGAACATTAGAATCACATTAGATCACAAACATGTAATAACAACAAGAAGACTTTTTTTTCTATTTTTTTTTAAGACCATGAAGTTGATTTATTTTCCATTTAGTCCCAGTACCTAGCGCCAAAGTACGCTCCCTCTACATGTCAAGGGACAAAGAGCACTAATTTGTGCTCAAGCAGGACGTCACTTAGAAAAGGCATATTCCACCCTACACTTCTTTCATTCACATGTCAATCAACTGAGACATCTCAAAGAGTTCCATTACATTTTGAATTGCCTGTTATTAAATGGTTTCCAAACATTTCACAGAAAGGTGTACATGTGTATACAATGTAGCACCAGTCTGTTTTACTGGTTCTCTGGCATTTGGAAGTAAAAAATTTAACAAGCTGTCAAGATGGAAACATGCATATTAAACATAGTGGACTGGGTTCAACATATCAATGTATTAATAAATCGAAAAACTGTAACAAGTTGAAAAACAGATGAAAAACTGTTGGTACCACATTAAAAGCATTTTGCAGTCGATTCAGAACCTGAATTGTACAAGTTCATGTTTTTTTTGTCAAATCAGAAAAAATTCTGAAACATGTGAATCAAAGAAATTAAATGGGTGCGGCCTTAGCATTATCTTTTAAAATCCAAGAAACAAGAAATAAAATTGGTATCTGCTGACCTTATGTGATACTCGCTGCCTGGCCTTAAGTCTGTCAAGCTGCATTCCCTCTTCTCCCCACTGTAGTGGACAGAAAAATTATCCACATAATGTTACTGTTAGTCATTCCAGTTGTTGGCATGTGAGCGTGCTAGTGTGCTTGAAGGGAAATGGCATTTTTTTGAGGGCGGATACAGACATGTACATAAGGCGTACTATATGGTGTAAAAAGATTATTAAGCCACAAAAAAGATGAAATCTTGTTTTGAATGGACAGGACTAGTAAAGTACATTTTGTACTTGTGTCAGCAGCCCTGCATATACATGTAGCTGGGATGAGTACATGTATGCTACATTGTATGTGTGGCCACACAGGGGTCCTCTTTTCAGATGTAAATGTACATGGATCTACATGCAGTTATGGATAAATTTTTGGTATGAATCTATACATAACAAAGGACCCACATGAACATGTGCATGAGAAGATATTATAGAAAATTTGCCAAACTAAATGGTTTATCAGATATGTGGCTATATGAAATATTTTGCCATTAGCCCCAATAGATCAAAGAAACATACTAGTACATACTAGACCATAACAAGGATCAATGTTTTACTAACTGTAAAGTGTTTGAATACAACAAAAGATTAATCATAAAGAGAGTTTAAACTGTGATTACTAGCACAAGAAATTGGACTTACCTAAATTTTCGACTGTACAACTCCAATCTTTGTAGAAAATTTAATTAAGTCCAATTTCTTCTATCGAAAATTACAGTTCAAACTTGCTTCATACTGACTTCTACAAACACAGATAAACTTTCATGACAGAACACTTATGAGCAGTTGAAGAGGGCAAATATGATGGCTGTACCTGTAAACAACTTTGAAGTTGCCATCCTTGCCTTTGTCGGACATGACCAGTTCGTAGCTGAAGTGTGATTGGTCGATATGGTTGTGTCCGGGGTCCCCGCTTCCGTTCATGCACAGAGGTGGTGGCGACCAGGAGACTTTGACCGACCTTGCTTCTACCTTGTGAACCTGTTCAAACAACACGTAGAAAAAAATTATACATGCAAGTGGACAAATTCTCTGAAGACTCAGAAGAGTCAGACCAAGAGGTCCCTGGTTTAAACCCCACCTTGTCACCGATCTTGTGCCCTTGGGAAAGGCACTTAACACAACTTTCCTCACTTCACTCAGGTGGAAATGAGTACCTAGCCTTGGTTAGGAACGTCCCTCGGATAGGACGTTAATTGGAGATCCCGTGTTTGGGGAGAGCCATACCCTGTGCACATTAAAGAACCCACCACATCTTTTGAAAAAGAGAAGGGGCGTGCCCCGGTTTGTGATGGTACAAAAATTATCACTGTCTGGGAGTTGGTGATTCACTACAAATCACCCAGATGGAGGCCTTACAGATACAAAATTTTATAATATTATGTGGTTTTCACTTGCTTATTTCTTGTAAAAAAACGTTGTGTAAAACATATACATGTATGAATTGCAATTCACTGTGTAGATGCTGTGAAACATACAGTTTAAACTCGTTAAAAAGCAGTGTAAACCATGCGCACTACATGTACATGTAATTATCTGCAATCATTTTTGGCTATTTTTATATCGCATATCGCACACCTGATTACACAAACATCTACACGCAATGTAGGGTTATTATGTGCATTTTGCACGACTTTTGATTCAGACTTGCAGGCATGTACCCCGGTATATGGGGGAAGTTATTAATAATCTGTATTGTATACAACCTGTATCTGAATAGATACAAATAAGGTAGTTTACTGGGTATGTGAAACAAAAACAAACGTGGTTACCGGTAACATCACCACTTTATCTGTTCAATAGTTACTTTATTTCCTGAGTTCTTTGAATGAACAAAAACAATAGCAAGTGTTGATGGCAGAATCTTTTACATATTCAGATTTACAAGAAATCTATCTTTAAGTCAAAATTCTGTGATGGCTTGTGAAGAAATTCTTTAAGTGTAGAAATCTCCATTTAAACCTAGCATGATCACATTTTTGTCTCATAGATACGTAGGGTTGATTCCAATTGACAAGAAAATTGACTTGGAAAATCCAGTTTTAGTGCCCAGAAATTGCCTTGGGTGCCTTTAATCAGGCTAATACATGGACATGTAGTGCCCACTATACCAACAATGGAGTCAACATTCTAGCGTACCATTGAGTCAACATTCTAGCGTACCAAGAAGTCTATTGGTGGTTGCTAAGGAAAGGATGTTGCTAAGGACCGGCATATGGAAACGCAGCGTGCTGTACGCCCACCTCCCAGCATGCTAATCGCTCAGGAATACAGGCGCTGACTCGTGTTAATACCAAATTAGCTTGTCTCCAGGCAGCAGGTGAAGTGAAGCACCTGAGCTGCCGCGTTCATCCCGGCGCACATCTTTTTCTCTCAGCCTCCCGAGGAGGGATTCGAACTTTCACAATGGCGGCTCTACCTCTTCTCTACAACGCCACTCTGCCAGCGGTGCCTGAATCGAATCCCGTGTACTACGCTCAAATCTCGCTGTATTCCCTCAACGTGGCCTTCGGCGTGCCCAGCAACCTGCTCATCTTGGGGATGACGGCCCGTCACGGCGAGATGCGAACGCCGGCAAACCTCCTGATCGGGAGCCTGTGTGTGGCTGACATCATGCTCCTACTGCTCTCACTGGCCAACTTCTCCCCCGTCTCCCTCTCCACCCTCACCTTCCTCAAGATCCTCAAGCAGACCTTCTTCTCCATCTCCGTCGCCAACCTGATCGCTGTCTGCTTCCTCCGCTACTTCTCCGTCTACCACCCTCTGAAGAACAAGCGGCTGGTCAGCAAGGGGAGGGTGAAGAAGGCCCTGGGAGTGACCTGGCCGCTCTGCTTCTTCCTCGCCACGCCGGCAGCCGTCCTGACCACCAAGCCCACCTGGGCGTCCAAGGCTCTCCTGACAAACCTGCACATCGTCTACACCCTGGGCTACTCCACACTCTTCTTCTTCCTCCCGATGCTGTTCCTCCTGTCGGTGTTCGTGGCTCTCACGGTCAAGTTCAAGAGGAAGGACGAGGAGGGAAGCCGCGAGGACCAACGCCAGTCCGAGGGCCGACTGCGCCGGGCCACGCTCGTGCACGGCAGGGCCAAGAGGAAGCAGCTCCACGGACAAGTCATCAAGTGTACTGGTAAGTTTGTCTCATCTTACGGTCTCCAAATTACACTTCTAAACCTTCCAAGAAAAATGGCATTTTCTTGGAAGAAAAGCTGTAGGACAGATACATGTAGCTACCATATGGTAAGTTTTTACATTATTCTTATCTTATGGTCTCAGAATTACACTATTTCTTCCATGAAAAATGGCATAAAGGCAGCTATGGTAATAGTACAATGTATGTTCATCTCAAATTTATACTAAATCCTCCAAGAAAAGTGGCAGAAGACAAGCTGTAGCTACAGTAATTATTAGTTCTTACGTTTGTCTCAAAATAATCAAGCTTAGTCAACCAGCAAAATTTAACCCTTAATGTGCAGGAAATTGCATTTCAGAGCGACGAGATTTCAAAATTTTCCCGGAAGAGCATGCACCCAGACATCCCAGTTGCACCGGCGCTCAAAATTATGTTACGTCAAAAAATATAGAAGACGGAAAAAATTGAGCAGGGTAGAAAACTGATTCAGATGGAAATGTGCTTTTGGTTGCCTTGAATGTCTTCATGGTGTACTCTTCCTATACAATGGACATTCTCTTGCTTGTATGTTTATCTTTCTTCCTGTTGCTAGTAGCATTTTTGTACTACATGCAGATTTATATTGGTGACAGAGTTAGGCAGTGAGAAGGAATTAAAGATAATTTTTTTAGATTCCATGGCTTGTAAGAAATTGGAGATGCTTGATGTTACAATTTATTGCTGGATCCTTTACAAATTATGTATGGATTATTTACAATCTGAGCTTTCACAATTCATATCTACCTTATTTATCAACCAATCAACAGGTTCTTGTCTTGTTGCAATTGCTAAAAATAATGTTGGGTTTGCCATGATTGAAAAACATGTGCATTGATTTCACGTTTACCTCACTGGACTAAACTAAACTTTCATCTCATCTTTCCCTTGATCTTCCCTTGTACTGCCATTTGACCTAAGAGCACAATGTAAGATCTGACAAGCATTTTTTTCTTCGCCCTTATGGGCTCCTGGTCTTATATTATAGTTTCTCTGATATTAGAAGTGATAATAAGCGTCCGGGGGCAGAATAGGGGCAAACTTTCATCAGCCGCCATATGGCACGTCAGACCTTGATGACTGAATATATTGAAGGGAAAAAATGGACAGGAAAGAGCAGAATTCAATGGAACAGCCTCAGTCAGGGGGATAAGGAATGGAAAGAAAATGAGGGGGAAAGAAAGAATAATACTTAATATTCTCCTAGCCTGGATGCCAGACTGTTCCCAGGGCCATTGCCCAGGCCAGTCCCCAGTTACCTCAGGACCTAATGGAAGGGGTCTGTGGTAAAATTTCCTTGGAGAAATGTTGGCCCTGGATACGAAGAGCTAGCCTGTATACTGACTTTGGCAACAGTCTGGCACAAAGGCTAGGCCTGGAGCTGAGGAGCTAGCCTGCACACTGGCCCTGGCAACAGTCTGGCACCCAGGCTACGTATTCTATTTGCATACATGGTCATTGACCAGCTTCATCATTTCATAAGTTTTGGGTTCATTACTCTGTTGCAAAGTGATGAAAATAAAGATCTCGCACCTCCACATCTTTATTATCTATATAATTGATCCTCATTAGTGAGCTACATGCGGCGCAGAGTGCCAGTTAACCATGGTGATTTGTGACTTTTGCAACACACGTAACCTCGAGTGCACTTTGAAGTACAGTGAGGAAACATGTCAGAGCTAAATGCTTCTTGAACATTTGAAGCTGCAACGCACTCAACCTCCGGTACACTTTTAAGTACAGTGCAGAAACATGTAAAAGGTGAATTTCTGGCCTTCCTTATAAGGAAATCTTAGGACAGAACATTGCTGCCTGGTAAGGATTCAAACCCAGCACCTTTAGATTCTGATTCAAGAACTACAAGATGCTACCTCTCCACAACGTACATTGTATCTAACATTCATCTGTTAGCAGGCAGACTGCTGTTGAATTGCACCCTAAATCGTACAAAAGAGGAATGAGGCAGTCTGGCTGAATAAAAGTTCTAAATGGGAACAATGCATCTCCAGATGTCTTACTGAGGGGCGACTGCAGTGTGCTAGTTATTGGATAGCTTGAGGATTTAATCCGCTTTCCTTTGTTAACGAGCAAGAAACAATTGTCCCTTCTTTGCTCCAGGCTCGCTGCTGATTCTCTTCGGGGTGTGCTGCCTTCCGAGCAACGTGGCACAAGTGGCGCAGGCCCTCATGGCTCTGGGCTTCGACAACCACCTCCCGACCATCTACGTCAACTCTGCCATCATCTCCACCTTCGTCCTGTACTTCTACATGTCCCTGAAGCCGGTGGTGTACCTCACCACCACACTGCCCACCTGCAAGATCTTCTGGGAGCTCATCAAGCCCACGGTATCGGCACAGAAACCAGAGGAGATCGAACTGAGAACAATCCGCGTGCACACTCCTTGTGTGACCGAAGCGGAATACGTGTAAATATTCCGGACTTTTTATGTATGCATGATTGTTTTCTTTCTTTTCACATTTGTGGAAGGATTGACATATATTGTAACAGGTGACTATCGCCTTTTTAAAATGACAACCCTGAGACCAGACTGTAAAGTCTGAACCACGCACACCAGAAAGGACCCCTGCTCTTTTTGAGTGGTGGGACATTTAACATGCTCAAGGTGTGGCTTTCCTCAAACACGGGACCTTGGTATTTTGAACCTGGAACTGTAGAATCAGTGCCCTTGTGGACTTTATGCGTAAAGTTTTGACATTGCTGTAGTGTAGCACTATGTCAACTTCAATGGTATGTGGATGTAAACAATAGTCAGGGGCTCAGGGCTGTTAATTACTCCCTTCTTGACAATCAACAATGTACATGTAAGAGAGTACATTTGCCTTTGAATCTGACAATGTGTCAATAAGCAGTAGTGGCCTTGCTACATGTAAGTCAAATATATGAAACAAAATTTTTCAGGGTATCTCCTTCGAAACATATTTTTCTAACGAAAAAAAAAACACTTGAATTTTAGTAAAAACATAAAATAGGAATGAAATCATTCTCTCACAGTATGGGTAACTATTTTGTTGAAACAACACTTTGATATTGCAATATTTTTGAAGTGGAAGAGACACACAAACAATATGTGAGAGTTCTAGAAGATTATCTACTGATGTACATTACAAATGTACAGTATTTCTATATCTAAAGTTAATTATGAAAATTTGTACTGCTAATTCTTGCCTGAGGACCAATTGCAAGAAAAAAGGAATAAGCAATGAAAAAAATATATCATGTGAATAGTCTAAATGCTGACTCTAAATTCGTCATTTTATTGGGTTTGACTCCTTTTGGTGAAACTGAACAAGAGAAAAAAAATTTTTTAACTTCAACTATTTTTTTGAATGTGTGGTTTATGTCATCTTAAGTAGTTTACTTTTTTGTCAGTAAGGGTAGACATTGGTGGTGTGTGTAAATAGCCACATGTACATGTACCTTCTTTCATGAGTTGTTCGAACTTTTGACAGGATATTTCTGTGATGTAATAACTTTATTGCTAAATAATTACTTGTGATACACAATGTATGACAACTTGCTCAACAGCTCTGTAAACTAAATCTAATTGTGGAAAGATACCAGCGACACATAATAGGAGTCAGTGGGAGTATCGGCTGACAGTGATGAGTTGTGAAAGCTTAGAGTCAAGCTGCGAATATGATCAAAGAGCAGACTGTTTTTCTTTCCACCAAGTGGTGAAAACCTGCGCACTCCGAGTGCTTTTTTAATTTGTTTTATTGAATTTGAAGAATCAATATTGTGATGTGTGAAGGATCAAAGGACTTGTGATATACATGACTTGTACATTGTAGTATTTTGCATTTGTGAAAATGTTAATATCTGATTTTCTTTCCACCAAGTGGTGAAAACCTGTGCACTCCGAGTGCTTTTTTAATTTGTTTTATTGAATTTGAAGAATCAATATTGTGATGTGTGAAGGATCAAAAGACTTGTGATATACATGTATATTGTAGTATTTTGCATTTCTCAAAACATTGATATCTGAATTTCTTTGTCCTATCTATGACTATGGGTGTCAACAGAATTTGTTGGTCGTCAAAAGGTTGCCAAGTTTCAAATTTGTCTGAGAGTACAGCGTATTTTTGTCTGGAAATCTACCAGTTTGGAACTATGTAGGTTACCTGCGAACATTTGCTTTTCTCTGAAAATTGTGGATACCAGCTGTGATGCTGCTAAAAATATCCTTTAGTCTAGAGCTTACAGGCTACATTGTCTGTGAATCTTTCTTGTCTACTACCTGCCAAAACTCAGGTACACTGAGCCGACGGCTCAAAATACTTGTTTAAGCATACCTGCACTGGTGCAGGTAACATTGAAAATTACCTGCACCAGACAAGTTTCACCTGCACCACTCAGACTTTGAGAAGTATGGATCATACTAAAAACTGTTCAGAAACCATCAAGATTATTTCTTTTATTCTTCATAGGTGATAACAGTGAGTGCAGCAAATAAAAATCCACATAAACCGTAAACCTGCATGTGCAAACCCAGTACATGGATTAGTGCAGATTAGGTGCAAGTAGACATCAGATATACATGCACAGTCCCAATTTTACCTGCAATAAGGTGCATATGCACCCGGTATTTTAAACCCTGATGACTAAATCACTGATGACCAGGTTAGGAGAGCCAGGAAGCTCCTAACAGCAAGAGATTGTGTAACATAGCATTCGGCTATATATAACAGTTCCTAAATTATGTGATTTACATTTGTATGATCACCCTGGCAACCAGGCATCCCCTACCATGACAGAACATTACGCTGAATTAAGAAACCCGCAAGGCAAATAAGACTTAATCTTTTCCTGGTTTGGTTCTCTCTACCAGTTGATGACCAATAGTCAGAAAATTGACTCATATAATGGAAGATTAGGTAATTGTGAGATTGGGCTCTTTCAGGGAGTAAGTTCTATGCAATCATCCCTGAGTGAGTGTGGTAAGAAATTCAAATCATCAACAAACACAATTGCTTTTGTGAAAAATGGTAACCTCTACCCAAAGATTTTTTGTAAAAGTAAAATTCTTTGATATAAATGTATTTCAAAAATGGTCCATATCATTGACTTTTTATTGTGATTTTATACATGTTATACATGTTTATACAAGTTATTTGGTATATGTTGAAGACTATTTGAGCATCTCAGACTTTCTGTTCACCTTACAAAGAGGAGAATTGTAGTCTTGTAGTTTGACATGTTTTCCTGCATAATATCAGTCTGTGAGCTCCTCCTTAGAGATACATTTTCTGTTTGACTTTGACGTTAAGTTTATGATGCGCAAGAAAAAGCTTTCGCTGTACTAGCATCTACCAGGCTTCAGAAGCAGCTGGAAAGAGTAGAAATTAACCAAATAGACGGATAACATGCCAGGGGAGTTGGTTCGCTAAAGGAGCACATTTGCCACTCCAGAATGTACTATATCAGCTGACCATCTCACCTGGCATGTTAGTGTCTATTTGGCCAATTTTGACTCTTTCCGGCCACTTCCGAAGCCTGGTAGAGGCTATTTCTATTCACCTTCAAAAGAGGAGGTTTGTACTTTGTTGTGTGCTTTGACATGTCTTCCTGTTATTCAGTTCTGTAAACTCCTCAAGAGAAACATTCTATATTCAAGTTAAGTGTAAGATAAGACACACAAGAAACTGCTTTTTGAGAAGAATAAAGAATAAAAATGAAGATTCCTGTAGACACTGGTATGATCTGCTTTTTTCAGATGTTGAATAAATTAGGTAGTCTGAAAGGGTACCCTGTAAATGCTAAACTGTTCCCAAAGTTCAGCCAACCTTTGTTGGTTGGTGGTCAAGGGAAGGTTCTAAATGTGTGACAGGGGCTTCAGTAACAAGAAAAAAACATGTACTGTGATGTAGTGACATCCTAATAGTACTTAGAGAACAAATTTTCCTGGCCGCGACAAAGTTGGACCTACCTGAGGCTTCTGGATGGAAGAGAGGATGTCCTTTATTCTCTTAACCTCTAAACTATCTGTAACAGAAAACAGAACATCCAACAATTAGCTCAAAACCCATGAATACATTTGGTATGAATGCTAGGCCGTGAAAACTTCTGTGAACATAAGGACCTTGTTTATCACAGTTAGTAATTGGTAACAAAAATCAGGTTACCACAACACTTTTCATCTTATGTATTCATAATTAACCTTAATTCACCTTCTGATAATAGTAATATTCATAATTAGACTATATCATACTTCTAACAGCCTTTCCACTGGTGAGGCCTCGGGGAGAAGGCCCAATCAGCCCCTGCCAGCGAGTGGTTCTGTACCACAGGCTTTACACATAATCAACTTGTTTTTTTCATTTTGGAAGGCATAAAGCTGCTCTGTTTTGGTGTTAGAGACTTATTTTCTTGCACCTGTAACTTCAATTGCCTGACCAGTATTGCACACTTTCTAATTCTACTAGTACTTAGCCCCTATTTCTGCTACACAACAGGGGTCTACACAGGTTTTCTATAGAAGCCAACTATTCATAAAGGAACAAATTTTGACAGCAAGACCCTAATTGAATTTGCAATGTAGCCAGCATGCATTGACCTGTGAAGATTATCACTCTGCCTGGTAAAAATACTGACAAACCCTAAAATGAAATGATAATGAAAAATGATGGTGGAACAAAACAGCACTTTCTGATCACAAAACCTGTGGTGTCTAAAAGAGTCTGGTCTAAAAAAAAATATGATTGGGCCCCCAAAAAAACATTTCGGTATCTAACTTTATACATGTAGTGGTTAGATTTGCTGGGAAATACATTTTATTGCCGAAAGAAGAAAAACTGTTTTAAATGGATATGCAGCTATAAAAGGTGCTTATTCAATCATTATATCCAATGGCACATGAGACCTTAATTCGAACCTTTGCTATTTGGCTGGTGGTTGCCCAGGTGTGGCTCAGGCTCCTGATTGCAGCTGTTCCGCAACCTTCTCTTCCCCCCTCCTCTTCCAAAGCCATTTTCAGCAGCAGTGGGGGACGAGGGCTGGCTCCTGCGGGGGGAGGTGGGCGGACTTCCGGCATTGCAGGAGTTTTCCCTCTGCCTGGTGTGTAATTTATTCCTCAGCCGGTCCCGAGTCTTTTCCGCTCTCTCGTCTATCTTGTGGAAGTTTGGAGTGTGCCTTTGGGGCTCTGTTTTAACACCAAAGGACAAAAAATTAACCAAAGAAACAAACAATAAAAAAAAACACCAGTCATTATCAATCATTAACAATTACATTGTTGATTTTGTCTCTTATTATTGTAACTATATCACAATCAAAATAACGACATTCAATCATTTCTGTAAACAAAAAAATCTAGTACTGTAACTCTATGTATATCAAATATTAATTACTAAATGTGACTTGACCAACGACACACATCATACTTCACAGGTCCGGCTGTGTAAACGCAAGAAATAAAAATCCATGTACTTATGATTGACTGATTTGGTGACACAAGACTACATTTGTATATAAACCCAGTGCATGGCCCAGTGCATATTACATGTACGTGCATGTAGACATAAGAAATACCTACACAGCACCTTAACCAATACTAATGTGGTAGAGGTACCAATATGTCAGAATAAGCTATCCGGCTGTTTAGACATTCATGATGAGGTCTTGATGATGTTTATTTAAATATGCCTTAGGAATTCTTGACTTAACACATCAACCTGTCAAGTTGTTTAGTGGCTTATGATTGACTAATTTGGTGGCACAAAATATCACTGCATACCGTCAACATTCTATCCTTCATCTATAATTTGAATGTCTAAATTGCAACCAATTTACATTACTACCACTAGAACTTAGTACAAAAGCAACTATCGTAATGATAGTGGATGTAAAATTTCACCCTCCAAACTGTAATTAGTAAAGCTTTATTAATATTCTACCTGCAGTAACCTGCATATGCAGAACCAAACTAGAATCTAGGACAGAATGATTGGCACAACACATTAATACATTGCACCTTGCTGAGTTATTCAAACAGTCCTGACTATTGTTGCTGATTCAGACATCATGTTTACTTCAGAACCCCCCGGGAAGCTATAGAAACTGCCCTATTCATGTCATGATAAGATAGCACTGAGTGCTGGCTGCTGGGTGACTGCTCGACGTCTAAAAATCACATATTTTAGACCAAGAAACCATCTGGCAAACAAGGTATAATGCAGACATATTTTCTGCATGATTAAAAAGCCAATGCGTCAACAATATGGAGGCGTTGTGAAACAACGTCACACACACGTACCACTGTCAGGGTCTCCACTCGAAGCCATGTGTGAAAATTACGTTTCTGACATCAGTGGGGAAACATCAAGACAACAGGGATGTCACAAAGAAAGCCTCAGGTTTGATCTAGAACCCAATTTAGCCCACATAAACTTCTTAAAGTTCCCTAAACAGCTGGTGCCACGGGGCTTAAGACACACCCACGTAGTACAGCCAACAAGAACAGGAAATGAACTTTGACCTCTTCAGATCCAGAAACTACTGTGGGGGTGTGTAAGGGGGTGTGGTAGACTCTCTTACTGGGCAATTTAAACCAGGTATACCAGAATGCCAAGCTATACCAAACTGACTTTTTGTGTGAGGAAATAGATATGTAGAAAATTTAAAATGTTTAAGAAAGGGTTCTGAAACATCAGACATTTTTATAAGCATCTTCAATAACCCTGTTACACCCTCCAATTAGGATAGAACACAATTCTATGTCCCCGTCATGATTTCTGGTCTTATTTTTGTCCTTGCAATAAAACTGTATCTACAGTAAATGTTGTGTAAGTAGATGCTGTTAGTAGTCTGTATACTGTTAGTGCTACATTGTATTCTGTACAACAACAACAGCCTCATGACACTTTGCCTAACTCAATGTTCTGTGTGCAAACTAATGTTACATTCGAGGACAAAACAAGGACCAATACAGATTTATTTATTCCTCATCTACAGAAAGGTGTGCTAATAAATAACCCCCTCTCTGACAAACTGTACATAAATACTTGAGAAAAATACATGTATGTTATAATCTTGTAGGCAAAGCAGTTATCAATATTCATTCTCATAGATGCCTAACTAATACATGTACATGGACACCTGCAATGCTTCACATATTCACCTAACTTTTCCTCATGAATAAAACAAACAAATAAAATAAGCATGAATTTATTTCTTGTTTTGTTAGAGATGTATTGCTTTTATATTTGTTCACAGGGTTCATTTGCTCACAAACACACCATAGTCTGCACATGGATGTTACATGCAGGTAAAATTGGAGCTGTGCAGGTATTTCTGATATCTACCTGTACCAGTCCATATGTACAAATTGTACTGGGATTATACACAAATGTAGGTGTATGTTAAATTATATTTGCTGTTTATTGTTACTTAAACACATTCATGTACAAAATGTAACCCAACACCACAGGTATCTGCTACAGCAACAGTTACCATGGTGACAGACATCCGGTCCAGGTCATTAACCTGATGTGTTTGTAAAAGAATGAGAAACTCAGCAAAAACAATATGTTTTCCTGCTGCGAAGGTAAACATAAACATAAACATACATTACCTTGTTCTGGAGGATATGGATAGGAGGGTTGATATGGATGTGGTGTATACTGTGGCGGTATCACCTCCCCCCCACCGTCCGGAGGGTGATAGGGGTTCTGAGGGAACATGTGGTGCGGCATATGGCTCGGGGGCGGGTAGCCCATTTGGTGAGGCACGTTGGGGTACTGGGGAGGCGGCAGCGCCGTCATAATGTGTATACTGCCGTTAGCGTCCATAACTTGTTGCACAATGTGTTCTGGAGGAATGGGAGGGGTGCCGTCGTGGGACACCATGCAGACGGTAGCCGGACCTGCAACACAGGGCAAGAGAACACATGTCAGACACATATGCAAATGTGGAAAGAAACTAGGTAACAGAACATGTTCAGACACATATGCAACTGTAACTGGACCTGGAAACTACATAACAAAACATGTGTCAGACACATATGCAACTGTAATTGGACCTGGAAACTAGGTAACAGAGCAAGTATCAGACACATACATATGTAACTGTAACTGGACCTAGAACAACAGGGAAAATGAACATGTGTCAGACACATATACAAAATTTCAAAGTACTCTCGAGCTAACTGTTGAGTCTTCCACAGGTCATCACAGAAAAGAGCATGTACAATGTACAGTACATACAGGGTCATTGTACCATGCTTGCAATTCTTACTATTGTTGTCAGGTGGAGCCACAGTACAGAATATCTCCAGGTATGGCATATACAGTTGTGCTACTGAACAGTATGTAATCAGTCACAGTTTCATAACACACCAGCTTAGACTTTAGAGACATGAAAACAAGCATTCTGCACAAAGCGGGTCTGCAAAAAAGTATTTTGAGCCCTGCAGACATTATGTTTAGATATTTATGTTCTGGGTTGAATTATATCTGTGCACAGACTTGTATTCTGCCTTATATAAGCATGTTGCCACCATGTGTAGACTGTCTTAGGTTTCTTGGCAGGACACCCTCTTGTCAGACACCAGCTTGGACTGTTAAGTCTCGATCATATGCAAATTTGGGGTCATCATTTTCTGGTTATCACTTTCAACTGTCATTTACTGACACAACATTTACTGTAGATTCAGTTATCTTTGCAGGGTCTTAATTTTGCGATAGGAGGGGGAAAGGGGTGGTGTTTTAGTGGTAGAAAAACAATTCTGTAGTACAGTAAAAATGCTCAAATACTCATCAAAGCGAAAGCAGTGAAAACATGACTACTGCAAACATTTCAAGATTTACAGTACACAAACTTTAGCAAAGACACCAAAAATGGCAGTGCCACAACATTTTATGTAGCCTTATTATATAGAAACCCACTAACTTTTTACACCATATAATGTGGAAGACTGTAGAAATGTACTACAGATGGGCCTTACGTGTTTCAAGGTCTACATACTTAACTCTTTACCTACAAAACAGCTGCAAAAGAGGGATAATGAAACATCCACATTTGCAGTGAATTAAGCTTTATTTCAAGTTAACGTAGAAGCAACAGGCTGTCTCCTTTGGTGTACTTGACCAGTCTATTCAAACTTTTGCAGCTTTTGCTGTATAACTTGAAAACTGTAAAATTCTTGACAAGCACCTTCTCCAACTAAAAGATACATGTTAGTCCTAAAATATGAGTACTGTAATTCACTTTATGTTCACGGTATCAAAAGTTATGACATTCAAGATCTGAGAAAATTAGAGGTGTTCACGGAAAAAAAAGTATATGTTCACAGTGACAGCAGGTGCAGAAAAAAAAGTCTCCAAATTATGAGCTACAGGCATGCTACATGTAGCTGTAGTTGCCAGCTAGTAAAAGATCAAGGGGAAAAGTTTACAAGGATATAAATTGGAGGAATAAAAGACTTTAGGAAGGAATTTGTTCAGGTTGACTGGTACAAGTATGACTTGGTAAGGCCATCACAAGTGACCCATCACTTTATATACAAACACACATGACACCTGATGGCTCTGCTAAGGGGTTGTACATTATTACTCCTTTCTGGAGATCCTTTTGACAATAGTTTAATTAAAGTTTAAATAAAGAGGCCTTGTTTTTGTGTGTAAAATGCAACTTGAACACTGTAAATCTTGAAATATTTGTGTGGGTTTCATTTTCACATATCACAATGATCTCTCCATCGTGATATCATGACACCAAACATGAAATTCCAAAGTGTGGTTGTACTATAATTGCTTCAATCACATGCAAACTCTCCACTTTCCGTGAAAATAAACTCATTTACAGTACTCCCTGAAAAGCAAAGGCTTTCCAGTTTCCCCCACCAGTCAGCTTGACTATGTTACTTAAGATGATGATGATATCTTAAGGTATCATGACAGAATGGTGGCCGTTTGATTACCTTTCCCCAGACGAGACCAAACCGGATACGGCAGGAAGACATTTTCCCCCCACGTCTAGACATGTTACTTCAAGCAGCATTGTCAAGAAATAGCTAGAATATCAAGTGTGACACGCAATTCCGCGTGAAACTTTGTCCAACCTATCAAAATTACCGTCCTTTTGGGCACCGTCCAGCCCAGCAGATCTCAGAAACAAGTTCTGATGAAGTGTAATTACTTTGGCTTAGTGGTGCGACATGAGTGAAGATTTGTGGTCTCTACCTAACAACTGGGATGTGGGTGTAGCTTTAGCTATGCTAAATCACCAGTAATCCACCTGTAAGTCAGGTATCATCCCTACTGAGGGGACAGATCATTAATGCTTCTAAGAGGGTCATACCATTCATAACTACCAGCGGGAGAATGAAGAAAAGTTTACAACACTGTTTCCTTCACCAGGTTATCATTAATATGTTTTTGGTAGTGTTTGTATTGCAACAGTTTTTGGTAGTGTTTGTATTGCAACAGTTTGGTGTTTGAATTGTAATTACTAACTCTTCTTCCCAAGGCCGTTAAGCTAAATGCTTCCACAGATTGCTTCTAATCCTTGGTCTCCCTCAAAAGGTGTTTGCACTGTGGTTGTTTGAACCTGACATTCCTGTCTCAAAACTGCCAAGCTACAGTCACCAACTTGTCAAAGAAAAGAGCTGGGTGTGGAGTGCCCTTAGTGGCTACTGTCCCTAGTAAACAGTGTACAGTATAGATCTTGCGTAACTTCCCAAAAGTTTTACACACGGTTTTAACTTGTTTATTTCTCGTGCAAAATTTTGTGTAAATCATGTTTAAATCCCAAATAAGAATCGCGTATCACGTGGTAAAAACTGATGCAGATGCAAAATCTGTATAAACTAAGACATACACTAATGAGCTGCAATCACATGTGACTGCCTTTTAATGAATGCATAACCACATGTGAGTTTTAAACGAGAATTGCGCAGATTTTCCAAGGCTTTTGCATATATTTTAATCGAGAAATGCACAGCTTCTAATCGACTTTTGATCAGTATTCGCCTCAGGATTTCCTCATGTAGATAGTAAGTTATTTGACATAGATCTGTACTGTAGCCCCCCCCAACCAGCTTAAGTGACCTGGCAAGTCCAGGTGGGTCCTCCACCTGTATTTGTTTGTACGCATATTGTGTCTAGACCTGATTTGGCACACGTCTGTCACAACCTACCTAGAGCACTGTACTGTCTGTAGGTCTTGAAATGTTGGTTTTACTTTTACTGTTTTCGCAGTGACATCTCCATAAAATCCCATACATGGATATCCATTTCCATTGTGTTACGAAGTTGTTCAAAACATAAAACGTTGGGAAAATAAATGAACTTACAGTAGTCCCTAGAATAAGCACGGACAATTGCTCTATTGTAAGTGGAACGCAGCCACCGAGTCCAGATACAGGCAGCTGGTTTATACCAGCCCATACTGGAATGCGGTGGCTCCAAAATTTGTTGAAAGTGTTCATTAGCAAGTGATAAATGTGAAAAGTGATATCATTGACAAATCCTTGCAGTGACTGCCTGGGTTACCCCAAGCTCCAAACATTTAAAGTACCCCACACAAAATGGCTATGTACACACTTGGGCCAATCCATCCCTATAACCTGGTTCTAGGACGCTTCATTAGGATAATTTTCAGAGATTGAAAATGGCAACAATGTTCCCTACATTCAATCCTAGTACTCTAATTTGATTACTGTACATCGTGAAATGTTTGCAGTTTTATTTTCGCGAACACAAAATTATGGCACCACAAATATGCCACGTTTCCAACTGTATTACTGTTGTACTGCAGAAATGATTTGACTGCAAAAATAAGTCTTCTACTGCAAAAATAAGTCTTCTACTGCAAAAATAAGTCTTCTACTGCGCTTCTACAGCAAAATAAGTCCATGCAAAACAGTATCAACACTACAGTATGTGTTGTTTGTATTCTAAATACATTGTTACATCCATCATCATTAAACAGAACATAACTGATAATTGCTTGTATCATATCTCTGAATTTGTGTGTTTTCAACAGAATAGTTCTGTTCCCATCATTAGTTACGTCAATGAGAGCAGGTTTAAATCACTGGTAGCAGAAACACTGTTTTGTCCACAGACATGCTTAGCATGCAATCAAGCGGCCAGTGACCAGTAAACGTAGAAAGAATCGAATGTCTCCCATGCCAATCAACTAGTCAAGGACCCTTTCAATTGCGTCTGAAGTCTTCATTTACGCACAACTTTCAATGGCTGGTTCCTATGGACACCATTAGTGGATATCAAGTGTGGGATAGCTTCAATCTAAGGAAGTTACCATAGCACTTGCGTTCATATTATGACTACAGGGCTTTAAATTCATTTTCTGGCACCTAAAATCTAAGTGCACTGAAAAAACTTGTACTGAACTGAAGTTCTATAGCTATTAAGTTTGAACTTCTTAACAAGAGATACAGCAAAGGTTGTAATAGTTTTTATGAAACTCACATGTCAGGAATATGCTGTATTAGTACAATAGTACCTTTACTTACAGTTATTTAAGTTTTTAACTCACAAATATTCAGCAAAAGGCAATAAAAATCATTCTCATTGATTAAAGAGCACATTCCAAGCTTTATTACGATTCTATACTGCCAAAAACTTGAGAAAAACAGAACATACACTTCAAATCAGAAAGGAATTTTCTTATTCCATAGTCACCATCGTTCTCTGGCTGAAATTTTACAGAGAAGAGTCCAAGAACCATGGAATTCCATTTCCAAGTTGGAACCGGAGCTGCCTAAACACAGCAAGGTGTTCCACTTTCCTCACATTACCACTTCAGCCCACAGCTCCATTCCGATTCCACTCCACACTTTCCTATCGATCTGTCCTTGCTTTGTGAATATCCAAGGTTTAGAAGGCATTTAACCTCACC